ACCAAGAACTTCAGTCACCATCGACCATTCACTAGAAGCTGTAGGGATAGAAGTGCCAATACCAACACCAACACCAAAGCCATTATAAGGGGTGGGGGTTCGAAGAACCATCCCAAAGGACCCATCCCTCTTCTTGGCAAACCAACCCAACTGGATGAGAAGGTGTTCGAACAACCTCCATGAGAAAACATCATAGGAGTAAAAGCACCCACAGCCACCAGAAAAATAGACGAAGGATGAGAAGGTGTTCTCGCCGACAGTTGCTGAGCGAACAAAATTGACGGAACAAAGACGTGCCCTTCGAATTCGCATCCACGAACAAACCACAATGATCCTCTGAAAGATGAAGCCATCAATGTGTAGGACCGTAGTCATCCAATCCCAGCCCCCAAAAATACAAAACGAAGTCGCCATGAGAGGTCTGCCGTCAATGAAGCCCTCAGATCTTAAAATAGCCGCTAAAACCAGACACACCACCGTTAAAAGCCTAAAAAGACATACAAAGAAACCAAGGATAACACAGAAAACGGTCATCTCCTCCCCCATTCGGAGCCGGGGGAGGAGATACCGTGAAAGAAAGCTCGTCCGCTTGACGAGGGAAGAAAACTCTCACCACCCTTGCAATTTCGAGAGAGGGAGAGAGAAAGGGACAAATTTACATTAAATGGCTTAACTGATTGAACCTGCCGTGAATCACAAGATATGACAAAAATGCAGTTTGGGGTCAAACGAGAAAAGAAGCCAAACGATTGAAAACTTTCTTGGCATTATCAGTTTCAGGATTGAGGATGTGGAAGCAATGTTCCTCTCCTTCCACTTCAAAAAGTTCCACTTTGCCTTTCCACCCACTCTTCGCAGCTTCGTAGTACAAAACTCCTCTGTCTCTAAACTGATCTCTGCCACAAGCACAAACAAGCAGCTTCGAGCATCCCATGCTGGCCAAGCTAGGAGCCTCATCCGCCGTGGGATTGATCGCCGGGTTATCAATCCCGCCCGGTGCCGATGGGTACACAAAGTTCCACAGTAAAAGCGGCAGGCTCTCTCCGCGCCCTTCCTTTGGTTCAGATCCGATGGGCTTCGATCCCCAGAAATATGGGCACGAAAGAAAGGCACCCACTAACTTCACGCCCCCAGGCAAATCCTCCGCCCCACTTCGCATAGCGATGTTGTGGACGATGGTTCCTCCGGCGCTGTCGCCGCCGAGGTAAATTCTGTTGAAATCGCCGTGATTGGCGAGCCATGGTTCGCCGGCGTTGGTGATGGCTGAATGGGAAGAGACCCATTTGAGAGATTCCCAGCAATCTTCGAAGGCTGCCGGCAGATGGTGCTCTGGGGCGAGCCTGTACTCGACGGAGACGGCGATGACATTAGCCTCGGAGGCTATGAGGTTGAGGTAACGCTGGCCGATGAAGGAGAAGGCGGATTCGAGGCAGAATGCACCGCCGTGAAAGTAGACCAAGATCGGAATCTTTCTGGCCTCGGATTGGGCGGATTTAGGAAGGTAAAGGCGAGCTGAGACGGAAGGATGGTCGGAGATGACGATGTCTTTGGATGAAACTCCGGTGTCGGAGTCATGGAGAGAGGGGGGAACAATTGGGGACCCATAGAGGCGTTCCACAGTGCCATCCTTGTAGACTCGGATTAGATTAGGAAACTCTATTTCTATCTCTGTTGTTGTAGTTGGTGGGGTAGGGGTAGTGGAAGCCATTGAAATTACAGAGAAAACAGGGTGTCAGAAACAGCAAGGGCGATTATATAGAACTAAGAAGCGGGGGAACAAGTGATAGTTCAGGTTTCGCCTTAGATTCTGTTACAGATAAGAATAATAATCAAGATATCATTTTAAAAAATTAGTGGCTTAAAATTCGTGCTACTTTTTTATCTAGCGACATCAATTTGAAAGTCGAAACGCCGTGCGCACGCCGATGGGAATTTTACAGTCAGTCTAATATTTTTCCCCCCATTTTTTAGCCGAAAGTTGGTTGCGTAGGTGAAGAAAGGCCGTAATGAAACATTGTAAATTTATAATAAGGAGGAACCGCAATTAGTTTGGTCAAAAACGTCTCCTTGTGAAAGTCGAGATGGGACAATAGGGCCCTGCCTAATGTGGCCGCCACCGAAAGAGTCAAAAACACCGCTGGAGCGGCCATTTTTTTTGACTTTGCTGCTACGTTGACGGATCGACCGGATTTGGTTTTATGCTTCTAACTTCGTAAACACTGGCTTCGATGAATAATATGAGGCGTTAGTTAATATTTTTCACAAATTAAGTAATGTCAGTTAACTCAAAGTTACTTCTTTGACCCTATCATAAAAATGTAATGGGAAAATTCTTTCATTTCATTTGAAATCTCATTATCTTCTTATAAATAAAAGTGAAAAATTGAAATCAATTATCTTATTAATCTATCATATTTTGACCCCTTTTTTTTTTTTTTTTTTTTTGCAGAAGGCTTCTTCTATTATAGACAAGGAGTAGTTAAGAGTGACCTACACGCGTTAACTGAAAGTCTAAAATGCGAGCTTTTTACTTCTTCGCGGGACCGACAATAGCATATTAACGTCACAATGACAAGGCATCACAGCGTCTGATCATAGGTCAAACAAATCCTCTCTGCTTAATAGATTAGCCATGAAGCAAGCATTAAGAATACTCCAATTCCCCTTTATGGAACAAAATGGCTCTGTCTTTGAAAATGTCCTCACAGGTAATGCTACTCTTTGTTTCCAACAGAGACAACAGGGGGGAACAGAGACAACCAATTAAAGCTCGAGCACTGCGTGCTTGTGCTCTGCAATCTAAGTCCAATTCCCTTTTGTCATGGCGGCGATGATTGGACCGTCGCAACGGGGAGGCAATAATCCTAACCTTCTACTTCACCTTTTATCCACTCTTGTTCACAGCCTCGTAGTACCAAACCCCGCTGCCTCTAAGCTGAATTTTACCACAAACGTAAACAAGCAGAGCTCCAAGCACCACATGCTGGCCAAGCGATGGTCGAGGAAAGAGAAGGCGGATTAGAGGCAGAATCCACCGTCGGGTTGGGAGGATTCTGGGAGGTAAAGGCGAGCGGAGGTGACGACGTCTTTTGGATGAAACTCCGGTTTCGGAGGCATGGAGAGATGGTGGCGCATTTGGGGAACCGTAGAGGCGTTCCACTGTGCCATTCTTGTAGATTCGGAAACTTCATTTCTATAACTTTTGAGCTCGTTCAGGCTGAGAAAAAGAGACATGTCGAAATACTAACAGCTGGATTCCATTTATGGCTGAGTTTTTGGGATTGCAGTTGTTGCAGCAACTTATTTTGCCGCAGACAATCCAAGACTTTTCTGGTTAATTTAACAGCCGAAAAAAGGGGTCTGATATTTAAGAAGAAAATCGCAGGTTAGTTTAGTCATGCACTTATCCTCGAGAAAGGCTTCGACAAGGCTCATGGACTAAAAATGTAGTCCTGGCATGAACTAAACAAAGCCGGTTTGGGCATATGCTTCAGAGAATTGGGAGTAAGTTGCATGAATTTGGGGGAACAAAGCATAAGGATTGGGAGTTAGGCCACACAAATTCCTCGCCATTAACGGAGAAGGCAGATTCGAATTTGGTAGCCTCTGGTCATCATCTTCATCAGGCTTTGGAACGAGACTCTATTTGTAGGGTCTTGTGGGGAAGGAGGCACAATGGAGCCGTCTCGGCGGGGTTCCATGGTGAGTCGGCAAACTCTGACAACATGTTTGGTGCAAGTATTAGGAATGGAGAAAGAGAGAAGCGGCGACCGGTGCTAAAATATTAAAGTGTTATTTTGTGTGCTAAAATATTTGTGGACCATTACTCCAAAAAAAAAAAAAAGGAAGTAAACCAGAAGTAAACGAAATGGGATCACTAGTCCTTGGTGCCCTAAGAAATGAGTAGAGTATGTTTCCACAGAGCGCGCGCATATGCACGAGAATTTGAATGGGAAGAGTTATTTGCAAACGGATGCACGGGGGTTGTATAATTGGAATTTGGCGAAGAAAGAGAGAAGATTTTTTATCAGAAAAAAAGAAAGGAGATTTATTTTCCGGGAAAATCACAAAAAAAAACCATAGAAATTGCAAAATCACAAATTGGACCCATTACACACTTTTATAAGTTTTGACAACAATTAAATTACAAATAACAACACATTTTTTATGAAATACTTTATTTGTAATTTCACAATTTCTCTAGTCTTCTTTTTTCTTTGTGATTTCCCCCCTTTTTTAGGGGCTTTGAAAGAAAGGGGTTACTCCCTAAAACTGACTCAAACCTTAAGCTTCCATTTGGTATGAGAAAAATGGAGAAGAAAAATTTTAATAAACTCAATTTCAAAAATTAAAAAAACAGGGTTAAAATTTAATTCCCCACTTTTCCAATTTTTCAAATTCAACTCATTAAAATTTTTCTCCTCTTCACTCCATTTTTCTCTTACCAAACGTAAGGTAAATGGGGTTGATCCATTGGAATCTGAATTGAAGAGCAGTGACTCAGGCTACAAACAAAACACTTTTTAAAGCTGAAGAATGCAGCCATATACCGACCATCTAGTAAAGGGTTGTGACAAAATTTTCCAACAAACACAAAGCTGAGCAAGTTGCAAATTTTGTTACTTATCAGCACTGAATTTCCTGTTTTTTTTCTGTTAGTCTCTGCCACATCACTACATTTTAGAAAAGCTAAACTACACACGTTAGACCCACACGACTACACACCAACGCAAATTACCTAATCAACCTCACAATATCACTCCTTTAACAGTTCGCGTAAGATTGAGTTAAAAAGAAAAAATTCCAGCTCCACACAAAAGGAAACATTGTACCTTTTCCTAAGAAAAAGATATAATTACAATACTGCACAATTTTCGTTAGGGCAAAAACATACTTCACCCCAAAATATAAGCTCACAGTTCTCTTTTCTTTTTGACCATTTAGTTTATTTTTTTTCAAATACATCCATCTTTTTCCACAGTTGCTGACTTTACCTTCCATTTTTACTCCTATTAAGGGCCCATTTAAAATGACTTATAATAAATAACTTTTCAGTCATGATTTACAAAATACAAGATAAATATATATAAAAAATCTTATCTCAATTTATGTGAACGTGTTTGTAAATAATTTTAAACGTAATGCCAAACATGACCTAAGTCACACCTATAAGCATTCGCCTATCTTTCAATTGCGTATTAGTATTCATATCGTTATTGAGTAACCCTCACTCCGGCTTTACGTAATGCTGTTTCTTGACTACATTACTCGGGTGGTTTGCCTCTAAACGACGTATTAGCAGCTGCAACATTAACAAAATAAATTTCCAAATCAAGGGACAGGATCTAATGGGCTGGCATAAATGACCTACCAAAATAATTTTCTTTCCGACAACTACGTAATAGTCATATATACATATTATGTGCCTGAAGAAACACCAAACCCCTCGGCACAAACTCAGCAATTCGTAATCCCCTATCGAACTTCAAATCATACAACCATCACAATATTGCAGGAGAGAAAAATCAATGTTCGTGAAGGTCATATCTATCAATAACTGCAACAATCAAGTTACAGACAGAAGGGACTTACGCTGCATGAGAGCAACACGCATAACTCGTCAGATATTTCTCTCAGCCCTGCTCCGCTCAATAAAGGAGACCCCTTCCCGGATTCAGCAGGAAGAACATCTGCATGTTCTGTACATCACAATAGGTTAGATGTCAAGAATAGAATCGTTGGCCACCTGCTACAGCCGGATGTCACGGGAGTTAGCTTTTGTGAGAGCTTTGGCAAAGTAGTTGCGGATCTCTGGTATTATACGCTGAACCAGACAAGAATGCCTGCAACCATTTGGCATACGAGAAATTAAGAAGCTGAAATAAATACTTCTAAGACATGATTGACCAACAGACAAGGGTTTTACTAATTATTCATTATTTAAGTATATATCAGTAACGGAATTCTACAAAACTATGGTCCAATCAACCAGCTGAATTGTTATAAATAAGCATGCTTATTTCAAGTCAAAGATTGGATCCTACTTTCAACACCCATCTGTAATTGAGCTAGTGATCCGTGACTACGATTTCCAAAACAACTTGCAACCAAGCAGAATTGACAAAGTAAACACCCCCCCCCCCCAAAAAAAAAATGAAGAACTTAATATTTGTAGAATAGAGAGAGAGACAGAGAGAAATGTGCAACTTCTCTACAGCTGCCACCCCCTTCCGCAGGAGGAGGGGGTGAAAAAAAAAAGAGTAAACGACTCGAGGTTTCATTCCTCTCTCAATAGTGCAAAATACAACTGAGAAACATGACTCCCCCGTGCCCAAAAGCCATACCAAATCTTATTAGTTCCTGGATTTAACAGGCTGAATAACAATGATTCAGGCTTTTCCCAGAACGTTAATTTCTATGTAATACCACCGAAACATTCAAACATAAGGAGCATAAAGAAGATGAACAGTAATAAAGTACTTGCAACTGGCCCCAGAACTTTCAACTTGCTCAAGATATTTCTTCATAAATATGTAAAATAATGGTTATAAATTCATTAGCCTATGATTAGAATCTATCACAGCATTCCGCAGGCAAAGAAATATCAGAGAAGCAAAGACAAGCTTGAAGAGATCAGCTATACCCTGGTCTGGCACTCAATTTATCAAAGTGCTCCATGATAAACAGGATGCATGTGTGCCTCAATGAAATTGCATTGAAAGCTTCTGAGAGTTCATACATACTAGAAACATTCTCCAGTGATATATCCTGAGACAAAAACTAAACATAAGGAATACATCTCCAAATCTATCATTATAGCACAATGGAAATTTCTTAAAAGCCTCAACTGATTTTCTCAGCTCACCTGTGCTATTGTGTACTCACATCGTCTCTTAAGTCCTTCTAAGAGATATTGATCAGCTGCTCTGAGGAGATCTTGGGCAATATCAAGAGTAACATCAACTGATCCAGTATATATGAATCTGGAAAAAAATTATGTGAATTAAACCATATAAGTGGTTTTAAAATCATTAAAAGATTTCAAAGAACAAATTTAATCAAACATAAGTGCAGAATTTATCAAACCTCATCATCAACTCAAAAACTTCCCATCTGATATTTGGAATCTCTATGTCTCTTGCATCCTTCTCCTGCCATACGACCCATTCAATTGAGATTTAAGATATATATGGACACACATACATCTATGACATCATTTTTCACATCACATCCCAAAAAAAAAAGAAAAAAGAAGCTTTGGTTTTTACCAAGTGACCCAATTCACCAATCAATTTTCCCGTCAAGACTCAAATAACTAGATTCATGAGATGTTCAAATAGAATTAACACTAAAATCATATGTAGTGCTTCATATAGCTTGTAAACTAGAGTAAACAGCTATTTCTGGCTAGCTCTGTTTCATTAAGAAAAAAGAGAAGCTTGTTATGGTATTGTTTTTCCCTCTGGTTTGTGTGGTAGAAGAAAGGGGGTTTAAGATACTCACCCTGTAACCACCATCAAACATAGCACGAAATGCATCTGAAGACGCAAGTAGGCATATTCTGTGAGCAAAAAATCGTTTCCCTGCAATGATGAATGAAGATTACGCAGCTAACTACATATGCAAATTGAAGCTACAACCAACAAACTTTAAATAAATTAATATATCCCAACAACATAGCCAAGAAACAATGAATCTGCAAAAGACCAACCTTCAACCAAAAATGTTACGTCTGACAATGTAGCATTGTTCACATACTGCTCTCCCAAATAAACCTGCAAGAAAAACAGGCACATGATTATAGAAATTCAAGCTTCATGGACCATCTTTTTAATGTTCTAGATTGGTGAGATACTGCAGGTGGAAGCTATGCAACAATTATCATGCCACAAGTAGCAGGCATATAAAGGAAATAAACCATCATTATCAACTGATATAAGATTACTATTTACTAATCAACTACACGGACCATCTGTTTGTCCAGTACTAATCTTCAACGAGATATTTGCATCAACTTCAAGTCTAGAGGGCATTGTGACATCACACCAAATACAAATACTTGCAGACATGATGAAAAGCCGTCATTGGCAAATTAATACCATATAAGCCGCAAGATGAAAAACAAAATTAAATTTATAATCGGTAACCAGATACTAGAACCAATGAATACGCATGCAAAACAGCCTAAAAGCCCACAGCTTTCAAATTTTAGTCTTTTGGCTGCATGAAGTTATTGCCAAACATATAAAGGAGAAAATCTAATAAAAGATATGAAATTCTTTAAACCCTCATTTAGAAGGAAAATTTTGAACTTTGTGAACAAACAACATCAAGGTACAAGTAGCCTGTTTAGATTGTATCGCAATACTTGCTTTACTACACACTTGTGAGAGAATAATCAAGGTCAATCTCCATCCAACTAGATCTTATCCAACCTGGGGCGTTGGGGAAGGAGGAGGAGCATCTATTGGTGATAGAGTCGTGGCTTTGTTGGCCAGCTTGCATAAAGCAACTGCGCCATCAAGTTGCTGCTTAGGACTAGTAGAGCCAAGAAGCCCAATAAGAAATTCCAAACCTACAAGAAGAGATAATCAGTGAAATAAAATAGAATGGCCATAAAATTAATTTTGTCCAGAACTAACCAATATGCATAAATACATAAACTAAGATGTATACCATTGTTATCAATGAATATGGTTCTCTGATCATCTGCAGAACAAAGATGAGCAAGAGCCAAAGCAACTCGTCTTTGGACAGCCTTCTCTGAAACTCGCATAAGATATAACAAATGGTTCAGGACCTACATGAAGGGGGGAAAATACAAACTTTAGGAATTGATCAAGTAGTAGCACACTCAAGTAATTAATTATAATTACTCCATAAAGTAAGATGTGCATATTATGTGACATTACTTACACGGCCATGAATCTTCTCCTCTAATCTTTTCAATGTCTTTGCCACACAGTCTTTTGTTGCCTGCAATAGAAGACAATCAAAATATTTCCAAGGTAGGGCACTATTTCCCAATTTTTACAATACAAGTAGAAACACGCAATCAGGGCATACTCTATTCCCATTCACAAAAGCAAGAAAGGGGAGAAGAAATTAAGCTAGAAGTCAAAGCTAATGGCTAGAATTAAAAAGGCACACTTACTTGAACAATAAACTCTCCATCCTGCAGTCTCTGAACACCACCTACCCTAATGAAATCAGACACATTATCCTATTTAACAAAAGAAATAATAAAGCACAATTAATTAACATTGTTCTTTGACGAAGTGACTTAAACCAACTTAAAAACAGAAGATTTCAATTTTATAATTAAATCTTACTAATATCATACCTCATTATCTGCAAGGCCATAAAGAGCAAATGCAGCATTATGCTGCAAAGACCCATTTTTTGAGTCAAGGAGCTTGAGTAATGGTGCTAAGCCACCATTGTGTGCTATACCAGCTTGGTTATGGGTGTCCTGGGTCAAAATAATTATTCTCAAGCCAAAGGAAGCCGCACTCAAAATAACTCAAGATAATACAAATGGAAAAAGTACAGAGCATTGTACTGAAAAATCTATAATTAGATTACTATTACAGGTGGAAAAACTAGAATAAGAAACCTGCTATTTGAAAGGTATTCTCAATAGCAATATATTACTCCGTATTAGGGAAACTTAACCGAATCAACTTACACAAAAACTGCAAGTTGGAAAGAAGGTAAAAAAGATAACCTGTGCGAGTCTCCCCAAAGCAAAGGCGGACATTTCTCTGAGTTGTACATCAGGGGACTGAAGCATCTCTATCAGAGGTCGGACAGCACCTCTCTGAACAATGTGAACCTACAAAAACCAAGACAAATTATATTAATCAGAGGCGAAAGAACTAGTATTTTATCATTGCCAAGCATTATCACACTTCTGATTTTATCTTAACCCTAATCAATATTCTAGGACCAAAGCATCAATATTTAACATAACTAGTAGGATTATTCCCATAATTAAAAATTGAAACCATAAAACAAATTCTACCAGCCATTCCTTTTTATTTTCTAGCACCATCATCCAGGAAAACAAAAGGAAAAGTTATAAAGGTAACGGATCTTTTGTCATCTACATATCCCAAATCCTCCTTCAGTACAAACCAGAAAGATTGGGCTGGCACAGTAAATTTTTAGCTTACCTTACAATCTGAATCAGTTGCTGCAAACTGTCCAAGTAACAAGGCAGCTTCCCTTTGGCTCTCAGAGCAGCAGGAGCTGTTACATTAAATATTAGAACTTAAAAATATATTTTAAAAAAAATTATAAAATAATACCCTTTAGAGCAATATATTGCATTAACATCATCACCGCTAGAAAAGGATCTTTAATGATTTAGAATCTTAACATGGAAGATTTTGGGTAAGGGAGCTCGGAGGAAATAATATTGCAAGTTGCTCAAATCCTAAACTGAATGCATACCTAAGTAGTCCAATAACGGGTTGCAAAGCCCCAGCAAGAAGAACTTCTTTCTTTATATTAGGCGAAGAGTGTACCAGATTTCCTATTACACCAACCTGTAATAGAATACAGAAACATTACATTTAGAAAGTATGAGATGTGCAACAGCTGAGTGAAAACAAATCAAAATCTAATGTAAATTGTAACAAAAAGAAGTTGCAAAAGCCATACCGCTTCATAATGAATAGCAGCATCTTCAGAACGGAGCATTAAAATTAGAGTTGGAAGAGCATTGCATTCAACAATCTGCCAAGTCATGACATCGTAACATTTAATTGTATTTTACATGAATTTCAATCAGACGAACTTAAGGACAGGCCAATTACCTGATTTTTATTTTCATCATTTTTAAATGCCAGAGTTCGCAGTGCACCAGCGGCTGCTCTTTGCACCTTTGTATCATTAAATTCAAGCAATTCAACAAGTGGTGGAATTCCACCTTCCATCCTACATATGGAATCCGAATATAAATAACAAAATCATTGCAAATTATAACTTCAATGTAACATATTCGTGGAAAAAAGCAAACCTGACACGGGTTTTAATGCTGCTGTTCTCATGAGCAAGATTCGTGATTGCATCTGCAGCCCTTCGAATGACACTATTCACAGCACGAGAAGCAGAGCAAGTCTTATGTCTCTTTAACAGATCAACAAGATGTTTTAAGGCACCATTGTCAACAATTAGTTGTTGATGTTCTGGCTGTTTGAAGAAATTTCAAATAAAAAGGCAATTTTAGCACTTATACACGTGTTGTGCATAGTGTGGTTAAAAATGACAAGCTGTACTGATAACACATACTGGCATGAAATGACAAAAAATAAGATACGATCCATACTAAGAAATACTATTAACATCCTGTCAGCCTGCTGTTAAGTCAACAGAAGATATAAAAAAGGATGTTCGAAACTTAACTAAAACCAAAATGTTCATGAAACAGATCTTAAATGACTCCTATAAGTTCATCGGTTCTCGTAAGCTCAAGAATTGGTGAAAAGGGAGAAATCATGAGCATTAGTGTGAAATAAGGATATTTACAATAGAGCCATATGAATGATCTAATTATAAAGCCTTCTTTTTCACTTTGCGTCGTGACTTCTAACGTCATATAGTACTTATTCCACTGCACTTTCTTTCCTGAGTTATTTATTCACTTCTCTTAAAAGAGTAGGAAGTAATTAAGCGTACGTAAAACATCTCGCAGGAAGTGTGCAGGTAATGAAGACCACGTGCGATTTCCACCTAATTAAGCGTTTACTTAGAGTACTTAGTTAAGAGTCTAAATTTTTTTACGGATTAAAAGAATAAAATGAGTAGCATAGTTAACTCTCAAGATACTAATACATGAAATATAATAGACGTTATCATGGAAGTAAAAGCATAACCTTAATTTGCAGCACCATCAACATATACTCGAAAACTTGCAGAATTACAGGTGAGATAAGTTAAAGCGACAAGTTATAACGTTCTTTTATTTCTCGCAAATTCCTGAACCATAGTTGGAAGCACGGAGGCGAATTTACCTTAACGGCAAGAAGTCCTAAAGCGAAAGCACTCCCTTTCTCGACCTCGTGCTCGAATGGCTTTTGACCACGATCGCCTTCACTCGAAGGCGGCGCTTGAAGATGATTGACTAGAGACGGAATAGCTCCTCCTTCAACAATCACGTTCACTACTTCCTCTTCAAACACCAGTCTCAAACCGTTAGAGAAGCAAACACGCATGCAAAAGATACAGAAAAAACGAAAAGCATCGTAATTAATGAAACTTTAATAAAAACATGAAATGCGAGGCGAGGCGAGGCGAGATGAGATCGGAGAGCAAGCTCCGAGGCCAACTTACTCACCATTCTTAGCAAGTTCGGCAAGAACGTGAGTGGCACGCTTAGCCGCGGCTCGATCGGCTTCACGCCATGAAAAATTGAAGTCGAGTATTTCAACCTGCGCTGTAACCTCAGCGAGAAGGGCGTCTCGGGCGTCGCCGGTAGGAGGCGCCGAGATCTCTTGCTCGTCTTCGAAATCTTCCTCCAGCTTCCGCTTCTGGCCTTTCCTCTCAGGGAGGCTCTGATCTTGGCGCTTATGAAGCTCCATGGAAAAGAGAGCGGTCTCTCGCAGAGACAGTGCGTCCTGGAAACGGATTCAGAGAGAGACAAAGGCTGATCCCAAATGGAAATAGATGGCAGATCAGAGGGGTATTTCCGGAATTCCAGGACCTTGCTAACATGCGCGTGCTGGTTCGTGGGCTCATAATCCGGGACCGCGGGAAAAATCGTAAGCCTGTACATGACAGCACCTTGGGTAATTGTGGCGCCCAGCTCTATGAGAATTTTGGGGCAAAAAATGCCAGCTCAGCTGTTTAATACGAGAACCGGCTAATTTAAATAAATTAAAAAAAATTAACCAAATTAGTTATTTGTATTTTTTTTAATCTTAAATATAATACTCATTTTATAATATAATTATATTTAGGACCAGAGGGAGTAATAAATAAGTGTTATTTTTTAAAATTACTATTTAATGAAACATTTAACATATATAACTATTACAAAATCTACCTTAGAAAAATAAATAAGTATGAGAAATAAAGTTGATTTGATTCTTATATTTAAAATCAAATTAAATGTCAAACTTTATCTTATATTAAAATATTATAGTATTACCTTCGGTACTTAATATAATATCTCGTTTGACTTTTATTTTAGTCCTAAATATAAGACCTCAATCATCTCTTATATTTATGTATTTTTTCCAATTTAGTCAAACTAATAATAATAGTTATAGTTAATACACTTGATAAATAAGGATATTTTAGGAAAGACAACATCTATTTATTACAAATAACTAATTTATTTTTCTAATTTCCTCAAATTAGTTAATTAGCTTTTATCACGAAGACCGAAGGTGGTAATTACTAAGATTGCTTGCAAGGATGGGTTGTTATCCTTTAACTGTCAAGCAAGTTCTTCTCTCTATAAATTTTGTCAAGAGGTTTAATTCTTCAGCCGATCAGGGGTGTCCTTCGTATATGCTGATTGAATTTAATGGATCACTGTTTTCTAACTCTCGGTGTTGAATTTAATATTGGGCATCCATTCCTGGGAAGTCCTTGCCTGGGGTGACTCCATATTAGTCTGCATTCTTTGGATGTGGGATACCGGAGGGAGAAATCCAAAAAATATATATTGGGCATCCATTATGTAAAAGTCTACAATAACACATAATTATACATTTACATAATATATTTTGAAATATTAATATTTAATAATATTTAAGCATATCTGGTCAAAAAAAATAATATTTAAGCATAGTTCAGAATGAAACAAAAAAAGACATATGCCTGTGTGTGTGATTAAAAAACTTGACATAATAAATATAAGCAACTTAATCTTAAGTTTGGAGGGTTTAAATATAAGACTATTTAAAAGTTTCGAGTGCTTAAGCTGTTAATTTAAAATTTCAATGATACATCATGTTACCGTTGTTCGAAGGCGTATTATCCACTGCCACTAGCTTAAAATATCAGAAAGACCAAAGGTTTACTCGTGGATAGGAGTAGCATGGGGTTAGCAGAATAATCACACTATAGGCTTGAAAAATTGCACCTGAACACCCTTTTACTTTTTTTTTTTGGTTCAAGAGTCCCAGACTACAGCACTCGCGAGTTAAAAGAATCTCTTGATTTTAATTTTGTCACATGTTAAGAAATTATAATTTATAATAATTTTATTTACGATGAATGTCATTTTGTTTTTGTTCAAAAAAAAAAAAAGGTGCTTGACAGTGCTTTTAAATATTGGGTCCACGACTCTCTCTTGCTTTTTTGTTTTTCCTTCCCAAACAGCTCTCTTGAATAAAAAGCAAAACATTAGGAGAAAAATCCAAAGCCCAGCCAACATGACTGTAAACACATTTGGTGCTTAATTGAGTTTTTTAAGCAGTTCCTCTAAGAAAGAAGGCTACAATGCGAGAAAATATTGTTATCAACGGCAAATACTCTAGATTTGACCCCCCCCCAAAAAAAAAGGCCAGCTAAACCAGATTAAAAAAAGAGGAGAAAAGCCACATCAGATCACTAGCAATTAAGAGAGAAGAGGCAACTCGATGAATGCCTTCATTTCTGCAATCAACCCCACAAATCAATGCTGACATTCTCATGCTCATTGTGCTCTCTTGCTTGGATGCATCCTGAAGAAGCATTCATGTATAGACACACGCACCCAGGAAAAAAGCGATTTCTTGGCATGGTCTCATGTTTCCTATCACACGTGCTCTTTGTCATTAACCAACAAGTTCTCATATTTGTTTGCACAGTGATCAAACTGACAGACAAAAACACTGATACAAGCGAAACCCGAGACTCACAGAGGGGGGAAGCAGCGGCCACCCAAACTTGGCCTCGATTCAATCACGTCGCAGAGTCGTTTGTTTGGTTTCTTTTTCCTTCCACGTCTATTGAAGTTGTTGAAGATGCCTCTTGGTGAACCACCCAAAGCCTTTAAATAATGGAATTGGAAATTAAAAATGCTTCTGTGATTAGCCAACATACGCAACTCTACAGGAGCTGAAATGCCGCGTCTATTGTTATGTATGTGAAAATAGGACCTTCCAAATCACTGAAATCAGTGTTTCAGATGGCTCTTCATTCTTCAGAAACCACAACCTTTTATGCCACGTGGCTTGTGGAATACTACAGGATCGGATCTGGATTATTTGCTTGTGGCCTTCAGAGAGGAACAGGCGAGAGCGCAATCTTAGGGAACAGAGAGTATGTTGTCTAATATGAGGAGAAATATTGAGAAAATATAGTTAATCTAATTCTAATAATTTCCAAAATCTTCAAGATTTATAAAAATGTCACGTTGTTTTGTGAGAAAAATGAAATGCTCAGAACTTTCAAACTCGAATCAATTTAAAGAAAAAGTGATCATTGTTGTTTACTAATAATTCCCATTAATTGAACCAAAGGGTGACGACTCATGCTTATTACTTAAATGATAGTAATAACTATCCATTTCTTTTATACATGATCCAACAGGAATTTAATTTAATTTAAATATGATGTAATTTTTGTTGACTTAAAAATAGTTCGTCATCCTTAGTCATCATCTTCATGATCATCACTCACTCGCGGATGGTGGCCTCTTGCTACCCGCCCCAACTGCCAAGTCTTAAATAAACAGTTATAAAAGCCTAAAATAATAAAAGTCAGCCCAAGTTGATATGTGAGCCCCCCCGCCTACAAATGTCAAATGCACTAACTAGCTTTTGCACCCTGACAAAAGTCGTTTGCCATCTCTGAGAGTCTGATTGGCCTAAAGGTCGGCCGTTTCCAAGTTTTTTCCCGCGTCACCTAGTCAAAGTCTCTTCTTTTCTTCGCTCCTTCCTCTAACTCCATTGTCTCGACTCGCCCCACCAGGAACCCATCGGAACATATCTGTGTTCTATAACAAAATCCAATACTTATTTACTACCTACTCGGTTTCACTCAGTTTCATGCTCAACCTAAACCATTTCATCATGCGTTTTCTCTTCCTTCTTCTCGTTCTGCCCTTCTTTGTCAGCCTCGCTTCCTCACGGACACTCCTTGAAGGTGTGATACTGTGATCACAAGAATGCTTCTTTTTATTCGTATCCGGTTTTGTATGATACCCTGCTGAAAAATTTATGTGATTCGTAGGTCTCGTGATTGATTGTGGTGCGACATCGCCGTCCAACATCGGCGGTTTTTTATGGCTGCCGGACGGGGAGTTTATATCAACCGGAACGCCCAAGAACGTGACCACCTCTCTTCGGGATCCCATTTTGTCCTCCGTTCGATCCTTCCCTCTTCGAGTCAAGAAACATTGCTACAATTTTCTCGTGTTTCCCGGAAAACGATACATGGTGCGGACGACGTATTTCTATGGAGGGGTAAACGGCCCGAAGCATCCTTCCCCACCGGTGTTTGATCAGATCGTGGATGGGACTTTATGGAGCGTGGTTAACACCACGAAGGACTATGCAAATGGGAATTTCACCTTCTACGAAGGGGTTTTCTCAGCTCAGGGTAAAACTATGACTGTATGCATCGGGTCAAATACTCACACGGATTCCGACCCCTTTATATCGGCTTTAGAGCTTGTGATTTTGAGTGATTCACTTTACAATGCCACCGATTTTAACAACTTTGGGCTCAATTTGGTTGCAAGGCACAGTTTTGGCTACTCTGGACCTACCATTCGGTCAGTACGAGATGCATTCTTGCGCTCTTTACAATGCAATTAGTGGTGAAGCTTAATTGCCCTTACCAAATTGTGCTTGTTTGATTTTTTTTTTTTTTTGCCCCCTCTATGTGGCTGTGGAGTTTACTAGATTTCAAGCGGTTATCCTACCTCGTGTTCGCTTTAACCTACTAGGTGCAAAAAGTTTCTTTGCAATCATGCAATGCCACAATGTTCTGAAATTAAGTGGTCTCTGTCAAGGATTTTCTCCCCTTTAATAGTTTGGTTGAAAACTACAATCATCTTTGATAGAAACTTTACTCAGAGCAAGTGCAATAGATTACAAGGTACTGAAAGAAACTCTTGAGTAAGTTTACAGCTCAGAGATCATAATTTTATGATCAAGTTATCAGCAGCTATAATTGGTGTGTGACATGAGTTTCAAACTTATCTTTCTCCAAAGTGCTTTCCACTTTCCCCTTCTAATGTGCAGTTTGTGGCTTCAACAGA